TACATTTGGCACGTCAAATCTGAAGTTGTTTAATCAGAGCAGATTTTATCTTATTTAGTTCTGTGTTTTTATCTGAACCTGCCTCTGACCGGATGCTCCGGTGAAGCTTTTTATTTTTGAACGAAACAACGCGCTGGAAATAAAGTGTCAACTGAGTTACTTTAGGATTGATACACTCCGCAATCTAGACTGGACATCACTATCTAAATTAAAAACTAAAGGTAAAAAGACGAAGCAACTGGACTTGTGTTTTGGAGTTGTAAACACATGGAGCTACAGGTTTAAACAGTGTCTTATCGATCCTTCACCCCAAGCTCACTGATGAAAAAGTCGGATGGAATGTGACATGAGCGTTCACACTGCAGTCGCTTTGAAAACATCAGATATATATCCGATTTAGAACCACATACTGAAACAGCCTGGGTCGGATTTGGAAAAAAATCTGATTTGTCGTTTTCAGACTGTCGTAAAAAAATCAGATATGGGTCGCATTTGCCTGCAGTGTGTTTACACTGCAGGCAAATGTAGCCTAAGAAAATTCTCTGGTCTTTGTTTATTGAAACAATATTATTTAAACTCTGGCTTCTGTTCCTCTCTCACTGACAGTGACTAAAAATAATCTACAGAAACATCAGATTCTTCTCTACAGTCTGTGTTCACATGCAGACGTTCCCCTTTGACGTCACTTCGTGTTGCTTCACATTCAAATATCTCAACAGCTCAGCAACATGTTTGCTGAGATTGCAAAGTCAAGGCAGCCATCTTGGTTGACTTCAAACATAAATGAGTTGAAGATGTACATCTATTGATTATTTACCAAAAATTTCCTTTAAAAATCTGTTAAAGGGCCAATATTATGTGTTTCTCAGGCTTACATTTAAATACTAATAAAGTATCTATGTCACCTTTAGCTGTTATTAAAATGCTGTTTTATGTTTGAATAGAAAATAAACGTATCTTCTCATCACTTCCTCTTCTAAACGCCTTGAAATTGGCCTCTGTCTCTTTAAGAAACAACTTCTCTTATGTCCCGCCCATTTCGGTGAGGTGGGAGGGGGGGGGGCGCTCTGCCATGAGGAAGTCGGCTTAAAGACACGTCCCAGGGGTGTTTCTGGTCCCCACCTGTCGTTTTGCTCCTCAGCTTCATAAAAACGCTGCAGGATTTCTCAAACATGCATGAATGAGTCAAAGCAAGGCTTTGGGTATGTTTTTTATGAGAGTATAACATTATAACAAAATGTAAAACTCAAAAAAAGTTGATTTTACATGATGCTGCCCCTTCAAAGGGGTTTGTGAGATATTTTGATATTTGGCTGACAAACACATCCACAGCCAAAAACATTGTTGCCTTCAGCTTTAAGTAAAAAACATCTCTAAGGTTTGCTTTAATGGTTTTCAACAGCGATTTTTTTTTTCAGCATGAAACGATTTAATGTTCATTTAACAAATCTATACAGAGTGAAGAGGTTTTATCTCTGATCTGCCTGTAACCATATTTATCTGACAGATAAACATGCTCAGAGAGGAGTAAAGAGGCGTCAGCGCTGCGGAGATGGGGGAGCAGAGTGACGTGCCAGTACACACTAATTAGTTGTCACTTCTTGCCGCTGCTTGATTAATTTAATCAACAGTACAGTGATCCTTATAACTASCAGTGTAAATGGCAAATTTGCAAATATAAAAGCACCACCCAGTTTTCAAACATCAGATTTTYTCAGGGTTCTGCTCAGGAAAACTAAAGATTCTGAAAGATTTTACAACAGATCAGCCTCAAGATGGCCGCCAGAGCTAACTGACATCAGCCAACACAAACACGTCTAAAAATCCGTGAATTTTATGAGCGTGGAGCTAAAATTGGGCGTGTTAGTAGATAGAGATAGAGAGAGTCACTCACAACTTATACTTCAACTGCAAACAGATCATGCAAAATCCCTCAGTGCTGMATGAGATTGTGTATTATTCAGAATTTGACCACAACAGCTCCACCATCATCGTTCCTCCACGAGATGATAGTTTCTAAAAGCTTGGCATGAAAGAGCAATTCCTCCAAGGAATGCTGGGCATTTGGTTATTTTTTTGTTGTTGTTGTTTTTGTTTTCCTCCCTTAAAGTGAAACTGGAGGGATGGTTTATTGAGGAAAATCYAGCTAAAGTAAACGTGCGTCTGCTCCTGCTTGTTCCATGAAAAGCTAAAGATGCAATCAGAGCTCAGATCTGTGTCTTGTTTATTCACACGGTGACAGACKGTTTCAGGAGAGTGTATCATTTACCATCAAGATGCTGAATTCAGCAGGCATCTAATAACAAAGCATTTACGGCCCACTTAGACATGCATAGAAATAAGTGGGCAACCACGCCAGCRGCTCCAGCTATCCCTTCCCTCGCCTGTAGAACCGTCCGGATTGGTCTCAGATCCTCCAGATTTCTATCAGCAGACACGGGGGTGAAATTAAAATCGCTCATTTTCTTTCTCCGCACAAGGAGCAGATCAATTTCCGGAGACGGGGACGTGATGTTTTTCCTGCCATCGGGCTTTCTCGTCTTCGGCGCAGCGCCCTGACTGCCTCCCAGCAGGAGGCCCGGGTCTGACTGCACGCCTCGCCGGAGAACAGTTACTTCTGCCGCGGCGAGTTTATTTGCGCCTCGCTATGAGAATTGCCATCATTTACCCTTSCCAACATCTCCCAAAACAGAGAGAAAGAAATAGACAACCGGAGGGGGAAGGAGAGCGAGGGGAGAGGCGAAATTGATTCTTTTTGATACATGCTGCTGCGCGGGGGACATTAGGCACACCTCGTTTGAGCACCTATTTCCAGAAATGARGTGAATAAATTTAGCCCGATGTGACGTTCGAAACTTCCAGAGGCCCTGATTCCGTTGTGACGGGACGAGGACTCACCTGAGGTTACCCACTGAATCAGGACGATCAGGAAATCATTAATGAGCGACTGTTTTTACACGAAACAGCAAGGAAGCCRGCGTTAACGCTGACATAACGTGAGGCAGATCTATTGAAATGTGATTCTGTAAGCAGTTCKGAGGGTACATTTGGTAACAAACGCATTCTTTGTGAACCGGCTAACTAAAAATGTTGAAAAAATTAGAACATTTTAAATTATATTGGAGCATTTGAGTCTAAGAAACYAAAGCAAAAATGCAAGGTTCAGCTAAAACGAGTCAAAAAATGTGAAAAACAAGGTTTTTATTTGAAATGGCACATTCATCTTAAAGTCTATCAAAACRTTTAAAGGGGCAAAATCATGTAAAATAAACTTTTTTGAGTTTTATATCATGTTATAATGTTATCCTCTCATCAAAAACATGACCAGAGTCTTACTTTGACTCGTTCATGCATGTAGTGTCCTGAGGCAGCAGGCAGGGGGGGCAAAAATGACCAGTTGGGCCTAGAACCGCCTTTTGGGACCAGCTCCTCCCCTGTGTCTCCAAGCTGAGCTTCCTCATCACAGAGCACACACACCCTGCCCCGTGCTGAAATGGGCGGGACAGAAGCAGGAGGAGGATCTTAAAGAGACAGAGTTCAATTTAAAGGTGTTTAAAAACAGATATGATGAGAAGTCAAGTTTATTTTCTATTTAACTATATAAACATTTTAATAACAACTGAAGGTGACATAGTTACTTTATTGTGGTATAGAATTTAAATGTATATATTTTATTGTTAAGCTTACGTACATTATTTCTATCGGCCTCCTTGGTTATAAAGAATAAAACTGCTTCAGATGATTTTCTGCATCTTGACCCTCAGTAATTTATAATTTTCACAAAAACCCCATCGTGATACAAAGTGGAGCAAAGTTTTGGTCACAAGTAAAAAMAGAATGCAGGGAGGAGATAACGGTGTCTGCAGCACAGAGGAGCAGGGAAAGGAGGACGGGGAGAGGTGAACTTATTTCTACACTGCAAAAAGTGTCAATCTATAAGTCTTACATCTGACCAAAAAGTATTTTTGATCTTATTTTGAGGCTGATGCACTAAACAAGAGCAGAATATTAATCTTGTTCACCTGGAGATTTTTCTTATTTCAAGAAGTCTTATCAAGTGGAATTACATTACTGCACTGGTGGATTATTTAACTTAATTTGAAAAGATTTTAACTGTAATCTAGTATTTTTTACTTTAATATAGACAGCTAATTTTGCAGTGTATACAGCTTGCCGAATCTGAGACTGAGAGCAAAGTTTATTTTAAAAATCATAAGATCTCCCCATTTGTCTGTATGCATGCAAAATGAGGGGAAAACCGTGTAAGTTATTATTTTTAAATTTATTTATAAAGTTTATCCATTTTTTTAAAAAACAGCATAAATTCTATATACAATTTAAAAAAAATACAAATTATAAATGAAGCAGCAGAAAGAAGAAAAATGCTTATACAGTATCTGCACCTTTTTTCAAAAAAAAATTAATTCAAACAAAATGACAAAAATAAAACCATTTACTAATTTACATATAATCTATACAGCTTGACATGTATGCTTCCTTTTTCCCAAACAGAGGTAATTCAAATAGCCATCYACAACAGGTAAGATAATGACTTATCACAACCTTCACTCAGATTACAGACGGGCTGCAGGTCCATGATGGTTTTTGGTGAAGAACATTTGCAGTGAACACCTGTAAAACTGAAAGTCGATGTTGAATAAAAGCCAAAGAGACAATTAGACTCTTGTTTAAAAAAACTAATGTTGATTTTGAATCAGGTGAAAATGACACAAGTGTTTGCACAAGCACACGAGGTCACGAGTTTTTGATTTAAAGTTTCTTTAACAAGCATTCATTTGGATTTTGTTTTAAGCAGTGAATATTTCAGCATGTGACAAATACAAACCTTTTCTTTCCTCATCTGCGTTCAGTTCTTTTAAAAAAAATCTCATTTTTTGCCAGGCGAGCTGTCCCCTCTCCTCCTGGACACCCACCTTGTTGCGTCACAGAGCCAGGCCGGGCCTAACGCAAACCATGTTGAGACAGAGCATAAAACTCCAGCCCCCTCCCCCTCTCAGCTCACAGCCCAGTGGATTTGGGTCGAAGCAGAGACGGGAAGAGCTGCAAGTTAATTTGTAACTCAAACAGCACCATGGCAGGACTCAAGGTAAGTCAGCTTTAACCTGCAGAAACCTTTGCTCATCAGGGCTGAAATTTGAAGCTCAGACGTTTGAGCGTGAGCGTGCAAAAGGCGCTGCGAAGCTGTGTTTTTCAAGAAAAGCGCAGAAGAATCTGCTTCAGCTTTGTSGTTGGACCAAAACTGTGTAAAATTCAAAGGTTTGAGCTTCATCACTGCTGTGGCTGCAGCTGAGCGGCTGACTGGAGGGAGGTGTTCCCTCCAGCCAATCAGAGAGCTGCATTCAGCAGCTGCCCAGATGTGGTCTTGAGTTAATCACAAATGTGCATTCACAGAAATGCTTTTTTTTTTTACTTTATTTGATTGAAACTGAAAACTTTTCAAATTAAAAGCCTATCATTCATTTAAGGAATGATGTAACCAGTTTTAAATTAATCTTATGTTGAGAAATGKTGTTTTTAATCAAACCAAGGAAACAATGTTGTGAACAATCTTGTGATTTTTATTAGAGTTTGTGTTGTGAATGACTTTYAGCTRCACMCATGCAAAATTTCAACTCTATCTGTATTTTTTTGTTGTTTTTTATGGTCAGTTAAATTTTGTGTTTGATTTGTTTTTTGCTCCATTTAAAGCTAGTTGTTTTCAATCTATAGACCATTTCTGTCTTTTGCAGCTTTGAATACAACATAAATATCACAAATAAATTCCAGCTTTGTCGAACTTTCCCCAAACACAGCTCAGTCTTCAGGCACACATATGGAAACCATCTCTGTCTGGGAGGGCGTCTTTTGCAAACAAAGAGTGACTCAGCAAAAATGCGTTCACATCAACACAACGACTGGAGCTGAAAATATTTAGTTTTCCGCTCAGGTTTGGACAAACCCAAGTTAAAGTTTAATTATGAGTAAGTTTTGGCAACTAAAAACAAAAAAGATTTGCTGTCATATCATGGACACGTTTATTCTTTAATTTATTTCTTTCCCAAAGTTTGAATGCCATCCCCGTCACAATATTCTCCACTTGTATTTGGTCATTGTTTCCGAAAAAAAAAAAAAACATTTTAATTTATTATAAAATAATTTGTATTTGTGTTTGTCTTTTAGCAAAAATCCTCACGAACCACTTGACAAATTTTAACAAAACTCACTGGATATATCACAGCTAACTAACCTTTACAAACACAAACAAGATGGAACTCAACGCCAACTGTTAGCAGTTTTATAGGAATCAAATTGGACTGCATTTCTGCAGCGGGGTGGATTAGGATTGACCGTAGTAAATTGGGTGCAGAATGGTCAACGCCGTGACCACGCCTTCCACCAAAAAGTCTTTGTGCTTGAAAGCAAACGAGATCAAGTTCCTATCTGTGTTCTGACACAATTTGTTGCTGATTAGGTGGTCGAGGGTCAGAGATGGAGCTATCCAAGCCAAAGGAATTTGCTTCCTGTTATCAGGGGGGCGGGGCTTTGATGATGTCATGTGCTTCCGTGGTATGGTGGAGCATGCAGCATAGATGACTCGCACTGAGKTTGATGCATTTTAGCCTTTCTATGTGAAAGTTACAGCTTTCTGACACTGTGACGGACAGACGGACAGAGGGCCTCGGCGACGACAATTAGCCATAAATCAATGTTTTACAGGCAGTGAGATAAAATGTTACATTGTAAAATATGAAAGTAATCCTCGCCTCATACTTTAAAAACTAACAAGATCGTTTTTTAAAGGGATCCCCGATTAGTTCTAACATTAGACTTTATTTAATAAACATATATTTTAACTATAAAATAAAGACTGTAAAAATAC